GAGCGATTTTGCGAGGATGTCCCAGGCGATTTGGGCTTCGACGGCAGCCGCCCCGGGTCCCGCCCCGACCCCCCTGAGGAGTCATGATGCTCTCTTTTGACCCCACTGGAAACCTATCAGTCTTCGCTGTTAAGTGAAAACATATATATATATATATATATATATATATAAAAAAAAAAAAAAAAAAAAAAAAAAAAAAAAAAAAAAAAAAAAAAAAAAAAAAAAAAAAAAAAAAAAAAAAAAAAACCTCCCCCTCCCTCCCCAAAAAAACGATCCTGGTGAAGGACCCAAGCATATGCAAGTGTGAGCACCGCAGTGCTGAGCCCCGCCTGCAGTGGAGCTCCCCGTGGGCCGCGAAACGCGTGAGGGGGGTGCCGGAATGGGTGCAGTGACGCCAGGCGAACCTTGCCACTGTGGCCTTCGGTGGAGCTCCCTGTGGCCCCCCCCAACAAAGAAAACAACATTTGAACTGATCCTCGCTCCCCCTGCTCCTCCTCCTCCCGTGACTCCACTCGCGTCCCCTCCCGGGCCCAGGATCCTCTCCCTTCTTCCGCCTATATTGTCCCCTCCGCTCCCTGCCCGCTCCCCCCCCCCCGCCTGCCCTCCCCAGGCATCACCCCCCCCTCCCCCTCCAACTCCCCCCCTCCACAATTACTCAATATGAATACTACTCTCCCTCTTCCCCTGATGACGGCCTGGGAGTGTCCGACCCCCCCCGCGTATTGTTTTGTACACACAGGTTTCCCCGGAGTTGGGTTTTCGCCTGCATTTTTTTCAAAATGCTGCTCTCGCTGAGGCGCCGGCCTCATTTTCGGGCCCCGCTCGTTCCGAATCGTGCTCCCGCTGCAGCGCTGGCCTCATTTCCGTGCTTCCGCTCGTTCCGAATCGTGCTCCCGCTGCAGCGCTGGCCTCATTTCCGCGCTTCCGCTCGTTTCGACTCGTGCTCCCGCTGCAGCGCTGGCGTCATTTCCCGTGCCATGCCACGGCGTGCAATGCAATGCTAGGTTGATACTACGCTTTGCGGTGCTCTTCTACGCCATGCCATGCCGTGCTCTACAATGCATCGCGTACCCTTTCGAGATCATTGCCTTGCTCGACATCCGACTGTGCGAGTAGAGAGGGGATCTGCGCCATGGTAAGGGATGGGAGGGAGGGGTAGGATGTCAGATATGACGCGAGCGCACCTAGCTTGAACTCCCCCCCTCCCTTCCTCCCTCCCTCCCTCCCTCCCTCCCCCCTGCTCCACGGTCGCACTCCTTATGGATGTTGCTCTCCCCCGACAGCGTGCCTGGCCTCCTCCTCCTCCTCCTCCTCCTCCTCCTCCTCCTCCTCCGCCGTAAAAAGAGGAGGCGGAGGCGTTAGAGGGAGGGAGGAAGGATCAGGAGGAGACAGGAGGAACATGAGGTGACTTGGCGCGGGGTTCGTATACGCGCCTGTGGTAGCTCACGCATCGACCAGTATCTGCTGCACTTGCTCGAGCTTGTCTCGGGAGGAATGTCTCGTGCGGACCGCTGGCCGGCCATCACGGCAAGCCTTCGTCAGGAGCCCTGAGACGGGGGTCAATGCAAACGGGGGTCAGCCAGAGCGCCGGATCTTGCAGGATCCTGCGAAGACCCCCTCTGGCTGACCCGGGTCAGCGAGCCGCTCGTGGCCGCGAGGCGGCCGCGCATATTGGCTGACCCTGGTTTGCGAAGACCTGCGTTGCAGTTGTTTTTTCCTGCATTGCAGTTTTTTGGTTTCCTGCTGACCGGGGTCTGGATTGACCCGGGTCAGAAGATCCCCGACTTCGGGACACTGGGTCTTGTGAGGCCGTGGTTTGGGGCCGCGTCACCGCCAAGGCTATTCCGGCACTCGCTCGAGATCCTTGCATCCTGGATGTTTCCAGGATTGCGACGCGCCGTGATCGTCTTTCTCATCGCTCATGCTCCTCCGTCTCGCCCTCGCCCTCAGCTCCCTCGTCATCGCCTTCCTCCCTCCTCACCTTTCTCATCCTCGCCCTCCTCCGCCTCCCCAGTCATCCTGTGGAGTGAGAACACGCCCAGCGCCAGAGGGACGGGGTCAGCACTGTGCGAGATGAGGTGGACGACAGTAGAGGCCAGCCCCCCTCTCGTTCGCCTGCGTGCGAGGGGCCATCGAACGGCGCCGCTTCGTCAGAGTCCCTAAGTGTCCGGGGAACAAGAAATTGCAGAAACGTGCGCGATCGGAGGTCCGCGCGGATTTTTTGGATCGGCGCCGCATGGCCTTCCCTTGCGCGCGGGCCCAGCGCCGATCCAGGAAATCCGCGCGGTCCTCCGAAAGTGCATGCTCATGCCGTCTTCTGCTCTTCGAAGAGTCCCTCCAGCTCCCCTCCGCACCGGAGGCCGCCGTCCGCTGGGGGCCCGACCCCGCGGGGAGCGAGGAGCTCCAGTCCCAGGAGGTCGGGAGGCTCACCACGCAGATCCGCGCGGCGGTCCGGCTCGGCGACGTGGCAGAGGCCGAGTCGCTCATGAGCGAGATGCAGGAAGAGCCTCTCGCCAGCGGGGAGGGGGGGAGGAGGGAGGAGGAGGTGGGGGGGGATCATGCGGAGCGGAGAGGAGGGAGGAGGAGAGGAGGGAGGGCGGAGGAAAGGAGGGGGGGAGGGGGAGGGAGGAAGGAGGAGGAGAGGAGGGGGGGGAGGGAGGAGGGAGGAGAGAGGAGGAGAGGGGAACTTCCAAAGCTCCGTGGGCACAGCGGAGCCAACCCTGCCCGAGGAGCCCCCGCGAGGGAGAAACACGGCCAACAATCGGAGAGCTCCTGCGCCGCGGGAGCCCCCAGCAGGCCCCGGCAGACATCACTGGTACAGTCGGGGCGCTGAAGAAGGAACCCTTTCCGTTTGGGAGGGGCTCAGTGTTTCTTAGTTGTTTTGCAGTTGTCCTTCGGTTTTTGATGGGGAATCGAAGTTTAATTTGTGGAGAAAAGCGGCCTCGTTCCTTATTTAGGGTTCCTTGGGTCAACGCCCCGACTGTAGGACACAGCCAGGGGCCAAAAAAATACCCCCAAAGGGGCCGGCCACTCGAAGCTCCAAAACAAACCCAAGAGGACCCTAAGAACTGCCCACGTAGGTTGTGCAATTGCACGCCGTACGTGGGGCCCTCTTGGGCTCCTCCTGGGGCTCCCATGAACCCCGAAGGTCCAACACAACCCCAAGCGGGCCCCGAGAGGCCCCAATTGCGCTGTGCAATTGGACGCAGTACTTGGGGCCCTCTGGGACTCCTCCAAAACACCTCAGAGGGCCCCAAGAGAGACCCCAGTGCGGTGCGATGTGCAATTGCACGCCGCATTGGGAGCCTCCTTGGGGTTCTCCTGGGGCCTTCTTGGACCTCTGTTGGAGCCTCTTGGAACCCTCTTGGGGTCCTCCTGGGGGCTGCGAAAACCCTCTGGGGCGCTATCTTGGAATCTTCCTAGGTCCTAGATGCTCAAGAAGGCCCATGAAGGCCCCGAAACAAAAAAAACGAAAGTGGGCACAAATAAAGGAAACAAAGAGGCAAGGGGGCCTCAAGATCAATACCCATATTTTACATTTCTATTGCATCGCCGGCGAGGGGGAGCCATGCGGAACAGGGGCAGGCCTATCGTGGGCCTTTGGGCCTCAGGTTGTGCATAGGCCTGTCGCGGAGCGCCGGCCCTCGGAGAGGCTCCCCAGAGGCCCGCGACAGGCCTGTGCAGAGCCTGTGCACAGGCCTGCGGTAGGCCTGTGCACAGCCTATGCACAGGCCTGCCGCGGGGCGCGGGTTCTCGGAGAAGCTCCCCAGAGGCCGCCGACAGGCCTGTGCATAGCCTCTGCACAGGCCTGCGGTAGGCCTGTGCACAGCCTATGCATCAGAGCGCCGGCCCCCGTAAAGGCTTCCCAGAGGCCTTGCCACAAGCCTGTGCATAGCCTATGCACAGAAGGCTGGTAGGCCTACGCGCAGTCTGCGCACAGGCTTATGACGCAGGAGCCCACAGGTCATGAGAAAGCCGATCGACAAGCCTATCGTAGGCCCGTGTATTGGCCCATGCATAGCCTATGCGTAGCCCACGCATAGGCCTGTGGCGCAGGAGCCCACAGGCCCCGTCACAGCTTGTCCAGAGGCCTATCGTAGGCCTATGGGTTGACTATGCACATGCCTGTGATAGGCCTATCGACAAGCCTTGTGCAAAGGCTGTAGCAGGCCCTACGGCTCAAGCTCCCATAGGCTTATGCACAGGCTATCCATAAGCCTACCATACGTCTATGGATAGCCTGTCCACAGGCCTAGGGTAGGGTTTTGGAAAGCCTATGCGCAGGCCGATTGGAGCCTAGCATACGCTATGCATAAGCTATCGTCGGGTTTGTTGAGTGCGGGGGTGACGCCCCCCAACGCTTATAAAGAAATCCGGAGTAAGTTTGAGTCGGGCATGTCCCTCTACAGGGCGAATATTCAAGAATAGCAAAAGAAATAGTCTGGGGACGATCTCTTGTGCTCTTTCGACTATAGCTGCTACTTTTCATGGTTCTTGCAAAATCCGCCTGTAGGAGGACATGCCCGACCCAAGCATCAGCATACATGTTCGGAGGTATTCGCAGACTTGGCGCAGGACCTCCCCTCCCCTGGCGCGCGGAGCGTGCCAGAGGCGGCGCTGGAGCCGCCGCCAGGGGGGTCCAGGCCCGATCCAAGAAGCGCGCGTGAATCTTCCAAAGTCTATGCGTATGTGGTTCTATGCTCCTCTGCTCCTTCGTCTTCCCCCTGGTGTCTCTTCCTTTGTTCTCTCGCCTCCTCGTTCGAGTTTCGCGTCAGGCGCACGCTTCAGCAGGGCCAGTGCCAGGGCCAGTGCCAGTGCCAGGGCCATTGCCAGGGCCCGTCTGTTCTTTCAGGCCTGATACGTGGTACGAAGGCATGACTTTACCTTGGGACTCGTTTCGCGTATGCGCGGCAGGGGGGAATCGGTCCGTTGATTTCGCCCGACACAGTCGTTCTGTAAGGAGCAATGCCCGCTGAAAAGCTACAGAAAGGCTTTGGAATTCGCAGCAAGCGCGATGGCAAATGCCAGTTGGCGTGCTGATCCCCGTGCACCCTCGATGGACCAGGTGAAATCAGAACGGTTGGTATTTTCATACATGAGTTACTAGGACGCCAGCGAGGGTATCCCTGGATCGGTTGCAGAAACTTCTCGTTAAGGTTCCTCGACTAGAGAACTACAGGCAGAGCCTTGTGGAGTGGAACGTGCCGTCCACTCCACCGCGGTTGGGCATAAAATTAGACACCTGCTGTGTTCAACACATGCGACATGATGCTGGACAACTGCGAATATCTTATCGAGAGTTTCTCGTGAGCGACGAACGCGTTGGAGGCGCGACAGTTGGCCGCACGATAGACGCAATGACGTAGGGCTCCTTTACGTAGACAATTAGCTTAGACAGTAACAGCACAGTGAACTTGTGACGCCTCGCGCACCCCACCAGCCCATCCAGAAACGGGGACTAGGCAAGTGTGGGAACATGTAGTGAGACAGTGAGGGGAGCAGCCGTTATTTTCCCACCTAAAGAGATGATGAAGGAGGGGGAGGAGGAAGCGGAGGAAGAGGAGGAGGGAGGAGGGAGGAGGGAGCAGGAGAAGAGCGAGCAGACGCAAATGGAAAATGACGGAACACCTTCCAAATTATTTAATCGCTTAGCTCATTCCGCCGGCCCACATTGTATCGCTGGTGCTATATGTTTGTGTGTTCGTGGCGAGCGAGAAGAAGTTGGAGGAGGGGGAGGAGGAGGAGGATGAAGAGGGGAAGATGAGGACGAGGAGGCGGTCTCTCGATGGCTTCTTGGAGTATTTTAGGGGCCAACCCTGGTCGTGGACAAGACGCCTCTTTGGGAGGCTTCGTGGGGTCTCTTGGGAGGCCTCTCGGGGGCCTGTTGGAGGTGGTTTTGGGGCCTCCTGGGGCCTCTTGGGGGCCTCTTGGGGCCTCCTAGGGGCCTCTTCGGGCAAATATGTCGAAATGCCCGTTCGGGTCCCCCGTCTGTGCCCTCTCTTGGAGCCGTCTTGGGGGTGTATTGGGCCGTCTTGGAGGCCTCTTGGGCAGTCTTGGGGCCATCTTGGGCCGTTTGGGGGCCCTCTTGGAGACCTCTCGGGCCGTCTTGGGGCGGTCTTGGGGCGGTCTTGGGGGCCTCTTGGGGCGTCTTGGAGCGTCGGAAGCTGAAAATGCGAGAACGCCAAAAACCTTCAAAAACCAATGGAAAATCAACGATTTTTGCTTCTTGGGGCCCTTTTTGGAGGCCTCTTAGATGCTTCTTGGGCCATCTTGGAGGCCTCTTGGGCCGTCTGGAGGCCATCTTGGGCGTCGTGGAGCGATCTTCGGGCGTCTGGGGCCCCTCTTGGACGATGTTTGGGGCCTCTTGGGGCCCTCTTGGGGCGATCTGGAGCCCTCTTGGGCTCCGAAACAGAATTCTGGCATCTCTGACCCCTAGTCTGCCGGGGATCTGCCGGGGATCGCCCGGGGTACTTTTCGCTCGGGGACCCCCAGGGGCCGCCCTGCGCGCGCGAACCAGAAATACTGTTTACCTGTTACCGGAGATCTTAGCACGCCCTGGCCCGTTGGGCCGGCGAATTTTCAGGTGATCCTAAGGCGGGATGAGGAAGAGGATGAGGAGGGGGAGGCGAAGACGATGAAAAAACGGAATGGTGAGGAAGAGGAGGAGGAGGGAAGAGTAGGACGGTGACGACGACGATGATGGGTGCCACTCACAGATGGTTTCGTGGGCCATCTTGTTTCTTACGGCAGAATCCTGGACCCATCGCTGGGCATTCTCGCCGCCACTGGACGCTTCTGGGTGTCTCTTAGGATCCTCTCGAGTCTTCAGGGCCATCTTTAAAAACATCCATCGCTCATCACCCGCCGCAAGCTACCACGCCACCATCGCCGAACAGGCTGCTGCGAGCGTCTCCCGTGGCAGCCGCGCGACGCCACCTGCTGCAACCACAGCAGCAGGCCGAAACTGCCATTCGAACGACGGCCACTCGACGAGACATTGTGGCATCGAGACAGGGACCAACAGCGAGCACGACAGAATAACACCGACGAGCTGAGCACACCTGCCGAGGATCCACCGCCACGACGCGGCCAACGATCCCGATCGAGATCACCCACCATCGCGTGGAACACGCTCCACCACAACAAGGCGGCCAGCAACACCGCCAAGGAGGAGAGACGATGGCGCCAAAGCAGCGAAGCCACCGACCAGCAGAGTTACTACACCATCAGGCTTCAGGAGATTGACCCCGATTGAAGGTCCCGGCGCCGCAGTCTAAGGCGTACGTGCGTGGGCGTCTAAGGAACGTCTTGTTATCACGAATACATTTTTCGCAAACCAGTGGGGCAGCAAGTAACTTACACTCACAGCAATGGCTCCGAGAAGCAGTTCGACTACATCCTTGCCTCCAGGCGCCTATTCCGACAATGCCGCAACGTGGAGGCGAACAACGCAGTGGACTTAGGTTCAGATCACAAGGCCGTGGTTGCGCACTTCTGCTT